TGCATACTTTGCAGTATCCTCATAATAACTTCATATTAGGAATACATCATGGAAATGCCGAAATCCAAAATGTTTGGAACATATTTAGCGAACTTCTTGTGTGGGCTACAGTCAAACCCTGGGGGCAGCCATGTTTGTTTTTATTATTAGAGAATGCTTACGCACGTAATCATTCCATATTTGGAATTCGCATTTCCTAATATGGTAAGATGAAAATACATGTACCCAGCAAAGTATCACAAAATTACGGCACGCTGTAACTTATGGTGTTACGGTGACAGATGTATAATAATAGAAATTATTTGAATGTATGAAAATGAGCAGGGATGTGTAGTGAAGATAACAAAGTTCGAAACCATGGGGTGTGCAACTATCTGGCTCTTTTCAAGGTATTTTTATCCTTTGGGGATTGAGCTACGTCACAGAACATTCTACGTTGCTAAGACGCACAGTACGAACAGTAAGAACGTTGGTCAAAGAGCAGCTAAAGTCGAGAAAACAACACAAACTCAACTACAGTATATGACGATCCTGAATAAACAAATTTCTATATGTTGCATATGTGGGGGCAATCTTGTTACACTGTTCAGGAGAGTCGCAACAACTTACCCAAAGTTCAGTTTTCTGAGGGTTTTTGGCCTTTGTTTTCACTGCCAGTTGCCAGCCCCCTGAATATGCACTGTTATTCACAGTGAAGTGACGAGTCAAAATTATTCACACACTCATACTGTTCTTATCGTTTCTTATTATCACTACGTCACCACATTTCACTCGGTGTACGTTAGCAACATAAATGCTATAATGACCGTTGTTGTATGTATGTGTATTTCAGTTGACAGAGCTACAAGTCGGTTGCGTTCTGTTACTTCAGTCATGCCATATACAGTATTTACAAGATGAAGTGACATTCTGGTATCAAGAGTTTGATCACTTTCTGTTGCCATGGAAACAAACAGAGGAGCAGATTGATATCAATGAAGTAACAAAAAGCATAAGGTGAGGAGAGGAACTGAAATATCATGCAGTTAGATGGAAAACCAGTATAATCGGTTTATGCCAGTCAGTATTGAATTACATTTGTAATTGTATAAAATATATTTAATATTTGTTTATTTTCAGACCTAAATCTATTTTAAATAAGTTGAAACTACCGATGGAATTTATTGTGAATTTGTCCAATTTATCAGCTTCTGTCATACAGCCTGATGTCCCCGAATTTTCCGCAGTTGCCAGCACTGTCCAAGCTAAGGCATGTATTGAAAGTGGTCAACAAAACAATATAAACATAAAGTAAGTTTAAAGCATCCAATATTATTGCTGAATCTTGTCATTCAATATGGGAATTAATAGCAAGAGTCTCTTTAGACGAGGTTTAATAATTGGTCTTACTGGTATGTCACAAATTATAAACTTTCATTGAATTAAATGATTGCTGTTCACATGTACGAGGGGTGATCAATAAGTTCTCGGCCTTCCTCATAAAACGTTACAGAAGGATAATTTTTCCTACACTATTTTTTAACATGGTCTCCTCTAAGTTCAATGCACTTTGTCCATCGATGTTCCAGTATTCCTATTCCCTGCTGGAAGAAGGTTTCATCTCGTAGCTCGTGTAAGCCCATATTTCGGGCATAGCTCAAAGAATCACTCGTAGTACCGGTACTGGTTTGGGCGAAATCAAAGAAGGTCTACCATCAAATTCATATAGCCTGTCAAACTATTTGGCATGTTAATGGCCCAAACTTTTCAGATAAAATTAAAATAATTTAATTCTTTAAGTGTCAAAGTCGACTTTTGTCACCTTTTACAAATTTTATACCCACATAATTTTTTTTATAATTTTTCCATAATTTTTATCAAAACTTGTATTCAAAAATTATCAAAACAATTCCAGTCAAATATATAAAAACAGCAAAATATTGCATCAAAATTTTGCTGAGAAAAACTAAGTTGCTCAAAAGGTTAATTTCACCAGGATTTCACATATCTCAAGAAAAATATGATTTGTGATTCTCAACCGTGATTAATTAGGTGTGTGGATTATCCAAGTTTCATTTAAATTTGGTGAGTGGTACTGGAAATAACTGTGTCTCCGTCTGAATCCATATTGAGGATAACGATTCCATATGTCCACTACTACTTATCATATTATCTGCTCCACTCAGGGGCAAGATCCATGGTGAGCAGCTCTACTGTTATGTTGGTGAGGCAGCCAAATTCACCGGTCATTTCTCAACCAAGAAACACTTATGGGGAACACCATATGCAATGCATGCAATTGATATACAGGTAATGAACTTTTTATTTTTGTTACAATTTGAAATTGAGTAATATCACGATAAGAGATATAAGGTTTTATCTGGGTAACATGCTCAGAATCCTGTTGTCTTGGTAACATGCCTGAGCTATTACCATCTCTTAACCATTCATCAATGATATAATTACAATCAGGAATTACTAATTGTGCTGTAAAATGATAACAGTATTAAAAATGATACAAATAGAATGTTATTTTAGCAGTGATTCCCATAAAAAACAATAAAAACACATTTTCTTGTTAAAAACTCACTGAAAATATTGTTAATTGTTGAATATTTCTAAACATTAGAAAATACCTTGTAGGATACTATATATCTTTTTTTTTCACTATATGTCACATAGCAAAATTTTGACATGCTACTTTAACTATATTTTATTGATAGATTTTCTGAATGGAGTACGATGACCCTATATTTTTATTAGCTCCGCTGTCGACTTTGTCGAGCGGAGCTTATCATATGAGTGATTGTCCGTCGTCGTCGTCCGTCGTCGTCCGTCGTCGTCCGTCGTCGTCCGTGTCAATGTTTTACTTTTTCGACTTCTTCTTGAAAACTACAAGCCTAAATGCTTTGATACTTGGTGTATATGTACCTTGGGTAGACCTCTCTTAGATTTGTTCATTTCATGTTGATATCTTTAATTCTCTAATTTTGGTGAATATTTTTGTCATTTTTGGTAAAAACTATATTTTCGAGTTCTTGTTAAAAACCGCAGGTGCAATTGCTTTGATATTACATCTATAGGTACTACATGTGGACCTCTCTCAGATTTGTTAATTTTGTAATGATATCTTTAATTCTTTAATTTTGGTGAATATTTTTGTCATTTTTGGTAAAAACTGATATTTTCGACTTCTTGTTAAAAACCGCAAGTCCAATTGCTTTGATACTACATATATAGGTACTACATGTGGACCTCTCTCAGATTTGTTCATTTCGTGATGATATCTTCAATTCTCTAATTTTGGTGAATATTTTTGTCATTTTTGGTAAAAACTGATATTTTCGA